GGGGATCAGAACATCAAAGGAAATGGGAGGCGTGCATGTGATGAGCGCAAGAAAGTTGAAATGGACGGAAAGGCCGAATATCTTGGCAGCGACACTGGCTTGCATAGAGTCGAGACTGGCTTTGACGATGTGTGTGTGTTGACATGAAGTAGGTTCGTGGAGTTTGAATGTCACTGATTGAACTTGGTACTTCAGCACCCAGTTTGGACCGGTCTGAACACGTTCACATAGTGCCCCCTCCAAAGGAACTTGGGACTGGACAAATGGTCTGGTCCCCCCTAACTGTTGAATTTCAGACCAAATCTTGGTCCGGTCCTGCAAGGTTTGGGTTCGAACTTTGGTTTGGAACCTGACCACAGCATCACTAGCTGGGTCACCGTTTGTGGGCACCAGGTGGTGGCTGGTGGGCTTTGTTTTGCTGTTCGTGGGCCACGGGTGGTTGCTGGGCGTTGTTTTGGTCAAAAGGGGAGGTGGGAGGGGTTGCTGCTTACCTGGGCATGGCAACGTGCATCGTCTGCATCGTCATTGTCATGAGCGGTGGTGGTTTGAGACAGTGGTGGTGGATGGTGATGGTGGTGGTGGGAGGGAAGAAATGATGTGGCAATGTTCCAGCCAAAGCTGTCACGTTTGCGATGCCATGTGATGGAGAGCGGTATACATAGACCTTTAGTTTACCATGTAATAATGTCTGCATGGCTCAGTTGACTTGAGCACTGCCATTGCTGACATAGTTGAGGGTTCAATCCTCTTAAGTGTCAAATTTAATTTTTACCTAAATATAATAAGGACATTATAAATACTGTATTATAATGGTATAATGGTCATTAATTAATCTATGGCTGGAATCCAGATGGAATCCACCTGGAATAGTCCATGGAATCCATCATTCCATCCATATTCCATATGGAATCATATGGAATCCATAGTGACTATGGAATAAAAAAATAGCTGGGGACTCACATAAAAATATTCCATATGGAATCCATGGAATGATGGTGGAATCCACCCATTCCATATGGATTCCATATGGAATACACCAGAGAGTGTAAAGACCTCTGTTCTCCCAGTATTTTAGGTATCCTTGGGGTTTCCCATGAGCGATCATAAGTGTTTTCCAGCTCGCGAAGTTTTCATATCCACAGCAGTGCTGATCCTTGGGCAAGGAGAAAGGAATCGAAATATTGTGACTTCCAGACATGGTAATAAGTCTTTTGTATTGAGTTGAGGGGATATGTGTGTAACCAATAATCTTCTGATAATTTAGGAGCATGCAGGGCCCATAACCTGTTAGGATAAGACCGTTAGTGGTAGCTAAGGTAGAGATAGTAAGTAAAGTATTGGAAGATATATAAGTAAAAGAATACACACCTCAGGCGGTTACACATAGTGGTAAACGACTGAGGTGCGAGGTACAGAAGTAGCAAGAAAATTGTAAGTACAGAAGTAAATGAAGGAGTTGGTAAATAGGGATAAAGAGGGTACGTAGCATAGGGTTCTAATCCTCAACAAGAACATAGGTGCCCACAGTCGCCTCTAAGGTTCCAGCTGATACAAATGATGTGGTTGTCGGGACTGAGGAGGTTGTGGTCACTGTACTTTGACCATACTGCCTTGCCATCAGCTTTGAACTTGATGAGTATGGTGCTATTGGCATGTTGGGTTGTGTTGTGGCCTCACTCAGCACAGATGAGGCA